GGTATCGTTTAACAGTTTACAAAAGAAAATATATACAGTAGATATTTGATACGACATGTAATTGTAGAAGTGTGTGTATTTAACGTAAAATACAAAGAATTATATTTTCAACACATATAGCTGATATAAATATTAATTAGTTCATCTGACAAGTTTATGATTCCGATTAAACTAGTACCAAAAAATGCAATAAAATTTTTCAAACAAATATGTCTATAATGTATAGAAACCATATATGCAATAACAATCGATTCGACTGTATGTAATTTAAAATGAAAAATGAAATAAAATCACGAAGGAGTTGTATATAAGTTGTTCAAAAGCCAAGTGGAATAATGCACGCAGTTATAGTGATTTAAAGCTCTACAAGAATATGAGTTATTGATTCTGAAAATTCTAGTTCATAAGAAACTCATATCGCAAATAAATGACCTATTTCATATGCAGATAGTTACACTTGTGTATCGAGTTATGTTTCTAAGATCGATTATAACCTACTTTATTATATAGTTAAAGTAAATTCAATTTATGCAAATTAATCCAGAAAGCTTTGTCTTAAATATATGTGAAAATGTATTATGTAACAAGTAAAAAATTCATCGGCAATATAGCCTTATGTAAAATAAGTATATAAATCCTTCTTTGCTCAGAAAATTATTTTTGCTGTCGATCTGAGCCGTCACTTATTAAATTGCCATATGCATAAGATTGGAGCACGTGCAACAGAAAAGCCTTCCATAGAATTCACAGGCGCTACCTATTTTAAAGCATAATTCCCTGTGTGTCAGTGAGGTTTTATGAATACTTTATCGAAACCGCTTTATAATATTCTTTACCATAAAAGGCAGACTCAAAAGCCCCAAAGCCCGTAAATTATTTCGTATTAAATAAATCAATAATCATTATTTTGCCGTTATGAAAGAACTTATATCTAGAAATAGACTGTTCCAGCGATTCACGTCATAAAGCTTTTCAAAAACGAATTAAAAAAATATTGCTGTAATGTACTATGTACAGAAATAAAGTAAATAACATCACATGACATTTTCAGGATTAAACACACATTCATATATTTGATCAGCAAATGCTAGTCAGGTTACTGGGTAGAGTGGAAGTTCTAGAATGCGATTTTAAGGTCACGTCATCTTTTACAGCAAAACTCTGCTATGGTATTTATCATTGGTAGAAGCATTTATACAGATTCAGTGCTTATGATACCATTACTGTATGGAATGCAGCACCAGTTCTATTTTGGATATAAGAACTAACCCAAGTTCCAATAAAAACATATATTAATACTGTAGAATTTTTTTGTAAATTAATAAATTGAGTAATACTAAATATGGCAATTTACAAAAATAACGCCCAAAACTCCGTAAAGCTCCTATCATAAAGCATTTACAAATTTTACTAAAATGTCTCCATTTTAGTCTACTATTCAGACGACAGCAATTGTAGATGACGATAAAAAAACACACATTGCATTGTTATTTAACAATTTAATAGACCTATATTATTCTAATCTGTAATGTATAATAATTTGTATTGCATAGTCATCGTGTGAAATTAGTTTGAGAATGTACTTTTGTCTAACAATGCGGGTTGCAATTTTGTTATGAGTAATTCAAATGATAGAGCAAATATTGAACATGTACGTGAATTTTAAATAAAATGTGAACATTTATTTATATAATAAATAAAAGTAAACATGTATATGCGATAGATATAAAATAGTCATCCATAATGCAAAATGATATCAATAACTTCTGGCAAACTGAGCGCACAGTTTTACTATGCGTATTATACAAATATTTAATGTATTTTTTAAATTTATTTCTATTAATGCGGCACTACTGAAGTACCTATAATTAAATTTCGAGCTTGACACATATTTGTTCAGGACTATCGGACTATCGATCTTTCGCAAAATATTATTTGATAATATTTTTTCATAACATCGGAAATAACATTCACGTTTCTGACCATGAGAAATATATATGGTCGTTAAGATTTTCTTTGTAAAGACAATTTTATAGAAAAGTTTATGTTTAAAAGACGATTTAAAGATCATGTTTATACTGTTAGTAAGAGTAGTTCATTTTATATTGTTTACTATATTGCACTACAATATGCATGGTGCTTTATGAAAGATTTATCAATAAAAACAAATAATATACTGCTATATGGTGAGGTAATATATTTGAAATTTGACAAAAATAACATTTCAGAAGTTATTTTAATGAATTTATATCCATGAATAATCCTGTGTAATATAAACAGTCAACACTCCGCTAACACGGCATTCTGGTAACACAGTTCTCATACAACGCGGGCACGAAAATGCGACATTCCTCCGATAACACTGTACTCTATATAACACGAATCTCACTCGACAGTCATAAGTTCCTCGGGCAATGTGGTTGTAAAAAGTTTAAATATACGTTTTATTCTCGACTATTTTATTTGTTTCAATATTTATATAAACATTGCCAGTTTATATAGTAACTGCGTACATTACTGGATTAATTAGTCCCATGACTTTTTCACAGAACATTGTTTTTTCTAAAAAAAATTATGCTTTAAAATTGTTTGTTTGGTTGTTTCTTTTATTTTGTTTATTATTGCCTATTATAATCCCTTCTATTACTTGAAAACAATTTATATTTTTTTATTGGTTTTTGGTATTGCATGTAACCACATAAAATTCTTATCAACCATTTATCAAGTCTGATTTTTATATCTGTATGCAGTATTTGTTCGGGATTCGATCTGATTTCGTTTGCAATGCCAGCTGAGCGCTTACCGATTTTTCTAAGTTCCATCAAAAATTGGTATAAAAATTTATAACTTATGATGTCTTTTGCGTCTTGGTCTTCATATACTACCATAAAAAATGATTTGTAGTATTTCTTAGATTCTCATAGCACCATTTCCATACAACGCGATAGCAAGTTTCCACAGAATGCGCTACAATTGGCTTGTACGTAGTAGTAGTATTTTATAGCACGGTTGCCATACTACACGGTACGCATGCACCGCGCTAACTAAGGGTTGACTATATATATATATATATATATATATATATAATGCGAAAGATTTTTCAGGAAATATTTCAGGACCAAGCGGGTGCCGTGATCGAACTCATCGGATTATAAAAATCGAAGAAATTTTATTAAGAAGTAATTTAGTATACAAATAAAACTCTGATGACACCAAGACGTAAACACAAAGTGAATAAAAACATACATATATGAAGATAGATTTGTGGTTATCAAATATTAAACAAAAACTATGAAAGAACATTATAAAAACTATCCATGGCATCTGATGTGAGGACGATGGAACTTCCGTACATTGTGACGCAAGACCTTTATATATAGATGTAGCGCATATATACTCGTATATATATATATATATATATATATATATATCAGGTTCATATTTATACTTCAGTAATATATAACTTATTAGGTTGGTGTATGTAGAGAGCTCGCATAAGTGTGAATAAAACGATCATACTACAAGCGTACTAAAAGCGTTAACATATTTTTGCGAAAATGGAGTCGCAAATATCTTAAGTGCATTGATAAAATATTTACATAAGACAAAGACGTATGTGTCGTTCAAGCCGCAGTGCGTGCAGCTCCTGCAACTCGTAAATGATACATAAATACGTGTTCGGAGTTCAAATTACATTAAAAACAGCGAAGACAACTCCAAAAACAATATCGTCGTCGAAAACAAACGTAGATTATATACTTATTAACACATATGTAATTGCGTCCCGTTATTAGTATGGGACGTTTTGCCCTATTTTCCTTATCATACCAATGTAATTTGAAGAGAAGGAGAAGGGTGTTTTTACGGCGAGGAAGACCGTCGGATATAATAAAAGCAGATTACGCCACATGTCCTAAAGTTCGTATAAAAACGGCATAAAAGCATAGGATGAAAATTCCATAACCTAGTTTATGCCTTTGTATTAGTGGGTTGGTTAGTATGCCGACGAGTTTGTTGTAACACACAGACCCTTTTCTATATTAAAAGATACAATGTATTGCACCTTCCACACATTCTGACATAGTGCATTATCCACAGCACATATATTATCAGAATTATTAATAACTGTCGATAGAAATATATTTGTTTACATTTACGTATACATGAGCGCTTTGCTTTAGTAATATAACATGATTTAATTATAAAAATGTGCGACATTAAAAACTGCATATCTACATTTTTAACAAATCTTGCTAGGTCAGATAGTAAATATTCTAATATATATAAATATGTCTATTGCAAACTATACATAACATAAAACAATGAAATAGTTTATGGTTATTGGTACTGAAGCAGTTTTAATTTTATATATAGTGATTTATTCAAATTACTCATTCAGTTTTTTCAGCCCTTTTTAATGCATCACAAACAGAATATATAATATTTATAATCAAAGGCTAAGATTTAAAAATATTATTTCGTAGCGTTTGTATTAGTCACAGAAGTGATAGTCACTTTGGTATGAATTAGTTGTTCGCACCGTTGTACACTATATCGGATATTTCCTACGTGAGTGTACTATCAATTTGTTATTTACGTTAATATAACTATGATGTCACTTTATCAATGTGTGCAATTGATTTAAATGTCTGAATGAATGTAAAAAAGCATCTAACCTCTACAGCATGTGCTTGTGCAGTAAAATGCACATGGTTTTTTAACCCTCAGTGTCACTTTGGTTATTTTGATTTTTTTCATCTACAACTATCTAATCTGTCCACTTAATGTGTCCATCCGACAAATATATAATACTGCATTGCGGATATAACACATGTTTCGTGGAAAGTCAATATATCAGTGCATGAACTACAATAAAGTATTCAAGTGCTAGTGTGTAAAAGTGGTTAAAACTATATTAGCCTGTGCTAAATTAATTTCGCATGCTGTGCTCTATATATCATGCCAGTTTTATTAATAATTAATTAATAAGAAGAACTTACATGTAGTATGTGATGTGTGAATGGGTTATTTTTCTAGGTTTGGGCCGTTGGGTATATGAAAATTAAACTATTCAGAAAAATAATGATATCATCGATCGGTCGTCAACGTCCTTTTTCCCGTTTGTTACAATGTCGATATATTGTATTACGTCCGTATCACTTGTATAATCTGTGTGACACTGAAAACTGTACGTGTTCCTACAATACGAAACCAAAGCGACTCATGTACACGAGAAATACGACAGCCGGGCATTCGGTTGTCATGCGCATCGGCCGTACGCGCAGCACCTTCCACCTACACGTATCTTATTAAGCGGATAACAGAAGTACTACTGGGTACTAGTGGCGACTTGACTTGATTATGGCAATATGGCGATTAAGGGCTAAGCTGCGATGGTCACCAATACACTTCGTTGAGTAAACGACAGGGCCCGTTGCATCCGTTGTGCTCCCGTCTCGGTACGAGACATTTGAATCGGCGTTTCAACAAAAACAAATGTCACTCCCAACAATTGTTCGATCGAACGCGTGCACCGACTTCGGCGACTATTACTGAACGAATCCTGCCGATTGCGGGCGACTGGCGCCGAACCCGTGAAAACACATGATCGTGTCGTGGAAATGGACATGCACTATCGGGACGATCACCGGAAAATGTAACCGTCTCGCTCGGGCGCAATGCCGGTCGCGGGGAAAACGCCGAGTCGGGGCCAGGCGCATGTCGGGCGCGGAAACACATGCGAGCGCCGAACAGCTGCCCGTGTGTAGTAGGCTCGTGGAATTTAAAATGTTAAATAGCCGAGCGGAAGTGCCGACGCAAACACAATCTATGAAACAACAATATTGATTGTTTTGTTTGTCCCACGATGTATAGTGGGCCTTGTTCGGACCGCAAAACGCTTTTCTGCCTTGACGGCTCTTAGAAGTACAAGTGGAATCAGAATTCGACAAGGTCCTAATTAAAACCAACAAATAATAGAACGATACCATTGCGCTTAATAGTTTGTTACAACAAGGGGCGGCTGTCGTGATTTAACAACATCATTTCTTCTCGTCATCGTCATTGGGGGGGGGGGTGTACTCTGGTCGTAAAAAAGCAAATAATATTCTTACTATAATTTTTTATAAGTCATTAAGTAATAGGTTAACAATTTAGAAAAAAGGCGTATATTTATTACTAGTCTAGAATAATGTCGCTATCGTATGAACTATGGACAAGTTAATTTTTTTTTTCACAAAATAACTATAAAAATATAATATATATAAATAAATATTATAAAATAAATGCAATAAAATGTTTATATATATTTTTTAAATTGATATTCTCAAGTTTATAAAGAAGAATTTGTAAAAATATTTCAAGTAAATGGGCCCAGTAGAAGTTGAGAAATCATCGGTATCGTATGGAAAAACCGTTTCAAAAAAAACTTCTTTCTTTGCAGTGGAAAGAAAAATAGCATTATCGTAGTCAAATAGCTATATCTCCAAAAATAATTGAAATTTTGAAACATCCTCTTGCACACATATTTTTTAAAATTACCAATATGAACCAGAATTGATTTTTTTTAATTCGAGACCACAATGCACCCTTAATTACATTCATACCGCATTAAAGTTTTTTTTTAAGAACAAAATTTGCAAATATGTAAAATACAAAATATATGTAATAATAATAACTTTTAATAAATACTTTGTATAAATTGAAACATCGTTTATTAGCACAATAAGCTTATTAGCGTTTGAGAAACATTCGTATATTATTAACATTGCCCGTGCTTCAAAGTTTAAATTGAATCGGTTGTCGGGGAAGCATATTTCACTCAATTCATTCAGTTTCGAAGCTTTAATGATTTGATATTATATTTCAATATAAATTGTATACCGTGCATATTTATTTCACCTTAAATATATCACACACTTTTGACGAGTCATTCAGAATAATCGAAATTATAACAAAGTATTGCAATACTTATATTGTTTTTACGTGAGCAAACAATGTTAAGAATAAACCTTGAAATTCATATATATATATATATATATATATATATATATATATATATATATATATATATATATACGAGTTATCTGTAATATTATAAATAATTATTTCTCATAATTATTTAAACAAATGATGGTTAATAATTTCAATTATTAAATAATATATGTGTGTGTTTATGTATGTATATAGATAGATATAAACATGTTAATTGTAATAATAATATAAAAAAGGTATTCAATCTCTAAAAATAAACTCTATACTCATTGTTTGCCTTCAATCATAATTTAAAATATGCTTTGTTAATCATCAAGCCATTCATTCTATTGCTTTTAGTAAAACTAACAAAATTGCCGAGCAAGTCCTAATTATAAAGTGCTGATGTGCGATATGCTATTGTACATATCGAGTAGTTTTTATAAGATAAAGGAAATAAATAAATTTGAAATAGTCATAAATAAACAAGATTATTAATTTCAAACCACTCACCTTAATATAAAAGACAGCTAAATGAAGAATTCCTTCAGAAGTATCTTTTGCACTGCCTGAAACAAAAAAACAGTTGAATGCATGACAGGTATTGATGCACATATTTATAAAAAAAAGTTGTTGTGTTGAACATAGTATATATAAAAATAATCATATAATCATAGATCAGAGTCATATAATCCAAAACTAGTTTATTGAACAAATCAAAAAACAGTAAAATCGATTTTTTTAAGAAATAAAAAATTGTAGTACCAGGATCATTTTTTTACGTTTATACATGTTTAACAGCAGTCAGAATCAGAAGAGTCCTGCTAACCGTTGTACTGACTTCTTCTTATGACGTGCCTTTATAGATGGCAACCCAAATTGTTGTCTTATCTGAATGTGTGAATTTATTATTATAATTTCTGTAAGAAGAATGATTTGTTCATTAATCCAGGAATGTAAAAGGCTAATTTTGTTTGGAAACGTATAGCTATCTACATTTACAAGTAAAAACCATGCTATTCTGCTTGGCATCAGACTGCCCGAAGCGGGGATTGAAATTCGGATCTCTCATTGAAAGCTCAAAGCTCTAAACATTAACTCATGAGGGAGCCCGTGTAATATATTTGGAAACAATATTTAAACTCATGATGGAGCAGTATTGGTTGCTATAGTTAGCAATTCTAATTTCAAAAATCCAACAAATGATCCAAGTGTGCAAGACTATAAATTAAGATCAAATGTTTAAATCATTACGATTATAAAATAAAAAATAATTGTCAATGGAAAAACATCATAATATTCAAATTGATATAATCCTTGGTATAATTGCTTTGCATAATAAATAAATGCAATTATATATTTAATTAAACAGAATAATTATATGACATTTACATCATTTATCAAATAAAATTTACTTGGCCGATTGTATCTAAAATTTATGTTATCCTTCCGAAATTGTGATTATTCATTCAATTCAGGAACTTCACAAAAAGAGGGAAACAAAAAGTTATTTGTAATTCGGCAACTAGATCAGCAAAACAAAATTTTTGCGAGAGAACCCTAAAAGTCCCATAAAAACTTATGCTACGCGCTCTAGACGTGAAAAATGATCCCTGTGATCGAGTTTTCTTCACAGATATGATATTCTCTAATGCTCGAGGGCATGTGCCAGAAACGAGTCGAGAACGCCAAGGCGAAGCTGGTAATCTAATCTACACGATGTGATTTCGAATTTTGCAGCACATGTGCAATAAAAACTATAATAAAACATTATGCAAAAAAATTAGTGTATTTCGAATTTCAGAAATTTTAAAAAAAAGTTAGCAAGATCAAATATGATGGCACAAACTACCAATTCCACCTAAATTTTATGACTTATCCACACTTTATGTCTTAACAAACAGTTTGATTTAACAAAATTTGTGTTGGTTTAAAAGAAAGCAACCCAAACAAACAGTTGTCGCATCTCTGTGGGTAATTTTATAATTGTAATTGCTGAATATCAAAGAGTTTTTTGTGCAACAATACTGGGCAAAGGCTATTTTCACTTGGAAACATATGCTATCTATATTTCAATGTGTAAACCAATGCCACTGCCGCTACTCTATGTGGAAGCAATGTCTTTTTAACTTTAACAGCAATTTTTGCCCAACATCCTTATTCTTAACATCCCGAAGGAAAATAATTCGTTTTTCCCAGTAAAACCAATTAGCTAGCTTCCCCCTTAGCTAGAATTGCTTTGGTTCCCCCCATTTTTTGTTATTAAGCTATCCCTAAAAAACCTCAACCAATTTTGAAAATTCTAACTTTGAGTGTGATACCAATTAGGAATCTTGCTGATTAGTTTTTGGATCGTCAAAACAATTTTTTGATGACTTGAATTTAACTGCAAATTATGAGAAAGTTCATGGCTGACAAGAGGTCGTTTATGTATAGAAACTCTTTGAAGCTTGGAATAAAAAGCTTCAGTTTTAAAATAAGCAGTTGAATTCTTTATTGTCCCAATTTTAAATGTAGCGCAACCTCAATCTTCATTGATTAAGTCGATTATTTACACATAACTGAAAGTTTATGCAACTTGCCTTAAGGCAATTCAACATTATTACTACAACTTTGATGATATTTTATGTTAAATCTAGTGATTTTTAAAGTTTTTTGAAAAAAAAAATTATTCATTAAAAAGTTTTTTTTCAATTTATTAAAAACTCCTCCGTTTGAAATTTAATAGATCAAAATTTAAAAAAAAATGGCAATCTATATTTTATTATCAAAATAATTACATTATAAAAATAATCATAACTTTTTTGAAAAACAAGTAAATGTTATTACGTTCTGTAAGTTTAATTATTGTTAGTCGGAACAGGACTACGAGCAAAATATTTATACTATTTTGGGGTTTAATGAAAATAAAGGAATATGTTAATAATCCATCTACAAATATTTTGTAATATTGCAATTACGGTCGAGTGAATAAAATAGGAATGCGAAATGATATTTACATAATAAACTAAAGTTAGTAGCAGTTTGAATGTACGTACATACATTATGGTATTTGGACTATGTTATGTTATATAAACTGTAAGTAAATATAGAAAAGCAAAATAAACGAATAGAGAAAATGGTTCTAATTTGTAATAGATTTCCAATAGTAATCATGAAATATATAGGGTGCGGTGGACAGAAGTGAACCACGTCTTT